TGGCTGCTGTGAAAAAAGGTCTATCTTCTCATCTTCCTCTTGGCAAGAAAGTAAATAAATACTAGCTATACTATACTATATTAAACTTTAAGTTGAGGAAACTAAAACTCATTGGTTAAGGTTAGGGAAACCACAGTTTAAAGAGGACAGTCATTACTCTGAAGACCGCAAGACGTTGCAAAATCATCAATTATAACTGCAATTTAGATTTAGTAACCTCCATTATTTCATTACTTAACATTTATGATGCCTTGCAGAATCAAATCACGTTTTTGTTACTTTTGCCACTTACGCTGGGTTGTTGCACTGACGTGTCCGAAAGCGAACTCCAGTTCCACAGGAGCGTGAACAGGAGCCATATTTGCTCCAGGAGCCCCAGGCACCGTCTTGCTTGACCTGATTAGGGTTCTTCCACATGCAGTGACCTTTGTAGCACCACTACAGAGGATGACAGGGTTGAGGAGAAAGGAAAAGAAAGCCAAACACAAAAGCCTAATTTCTAGACTCAGGAGGGGATAATACAGGTTAAGAAATGCAAATATGGCTGGGCTCGTGTTGTTCACCAAAACCGTCTTGGTAAGAATTTATATCAGAAGAGATGCCTCTAAGGCAGCTGAAGGCTCATTTTTGATATATCATCTAATCAGTACTGACGACATCTGTTTGGTCTAAATCCTTGAAAAAAAACACCTGACCACTGATCTTTCTGGAGTTAGGTTACAATAAGGCCTCTGTTCCCAATCAGTAAGTACCTCCATATACATCCCACTTCACGCTTAGTGCCTCCTGATAATGGGCACCCTCTTAACACCTGTAGGAACAAAAATTTGGTCCTACGCCAGGGTCTCGCAGCTGTCTTAGTCAGATTGTGACTGTGCTATACTTGCATACCTCTTGTTGTTTACTAAATTCTGCCTCTTTCTATCCAGACCATATAATATGAACTTTTAAGCACCACAATCCCACAATACTACCTAATCTGCATCTGTGTATAGTGGGAATACAAGGGTTTTTTATGCAAGTCTTAATGCAGCATTTTTTTATGTCCATAGGTGCGATTTTTTTTCTTTGAGCATCAGTTTTGTCCAGGGATGCATGCCTCCAGAATAGTTTCTCAGAAGGAAGTCAATTTGATTTGTTTCAGCTTTCTTGGTTAACGCTTCACAATATAGAGCAGTAAACCAACTCATTCACACTGCTTTAATTTCCCATATACAGTACTGCCTAACTCACTTATTGTACGATTCACATCATACATTTTCTCTTCTTCTGTGTTTCAGTTTCGCACATTTGAGCCCATGTAACACAGCTGTGGTGCAGTCACCTGACAACCTTTATATACCATTCTGCAAAACCAAGAAAGGGCGCCACCTCTTGATGGAACGGAGTGTGCTCCTGGAAAAGTAAGTTTTCCTATTTCATATGACCCACTACATGGTCCAAGTCTATCGGAGTAGACACCCTACACAGAAAAGTGCATGGACACAGAGTGATTTAACAGGTTGATAACCCACCGGGTTGAGGAAACAGGGGTACGGTTGGAACCTGTCGCCCAGGGTCTCTCCATTCAGCGGCATAGGAAGCATCTTGGTGAGGAATCGGCAAGCCACCTGATGTTGGGTGAATAAGTGTCTGGCGTTGCAATGCGCGTGCCATTCATCCAAAGTTTAGATGGGGGTCTGAGGTCAGGACTCCTGACAGGCCAAAGTCAGTTTTTCCACACCAACAATGGAAAACGCCATTTTTTGGCATCTGGAAAGGGCTGCTCCCCCAATGTTGACACAAAGTTGGAAGCAACACCTGTTGTCTAAAATGATCATTTCATATATAAAATGTAACGAATGTCCCATCATAACTGGAACCCACAGGAGCTTTAGCCTAAGAGCAGCCTCCAAAGACAAAAAGTATAATAAGAATTCCTGACCAGCCCATCAATTTTTAACTGTATTTATCCCCTCCCTGAGTCTAGAAATTTAGCTTTTGTGTTTGGGCTTTCTTTTCTTTTCCCTCTCAACCCCTGTCATCCTCTGTAGGTGGTGCTACCAAAGGTCACTGCCATGTGGCAGAACCCTAATCAGGGTCAAGCCAAGACCGGTGGCCTGGGGCTCCCTGGATGGCCGAAATAATGGCTTCCTGTTCGACCTCCCTGTGGAACTGGGAGGTTCGCGTTCGGACAACGTCAGTGCAAACACCCAGCGAAGTTGGCAAAGTAACAAAAACGCTGA